GAAACTGAAATATAAAGTTAAAACTTGAAACTAATTGGCAGGGATGGTGAAAAAATGACCAAGACAAGCAACTTAGCCCTTACTATTAGATAACCATTAACCGTTTAATACTCCATTACTTATGTTGTAGCTTTGAGAAACTTTACAAACATAATTCAAAATACACAATTAAAACAAACAAAAATAATATTTGCAATTAATAAGATGTAACGTAATAATATTTTATAAAATAAATTTTACCATATTCAATTTCTTCATAGAACTCCATCTCCTCAATGCAAATTCTGTCTTGAGTTACTCTCAAAAGCCTAGATTCTTCTCACAACCAATTTTGGGTAAAATTAAAGCCTCAGCTGTTGTAGGAGTTAAAGAACTCCTAAATCAATCAAGAATGCACCCTCCAATACTAAATGCTGACTCAAAAGCAACTGTAGATACAGAAATGGCAAGCACATCTCTTGCAATATTTGACAAAATTTTAAATCTTGGGGTATTTATCTTCCACCAATTCAAAATATCAAAATTTGCATCATCTGCATCTTTATTTGGTTCCATCAAATATCATTGAATCTCATCTTTTTCAAACAAACTACCTTTGCTAGTTTTTAATTTTTTGTACCCAAAATAAAAATTATCAAAGTCATTTCAATCATCATCAGAACCATCATTAGTACCACCACTACCACTAGCTCCATCAGTCTCGCTTTTCCATCCCTTGTACTGATTATACAAAGTATACAATAACTTATTGAATTCATTTTTTGTTTCTTCAACCCTACCAGAGTCATACATAATGCCAATACAATATGCAACAAACTCTAATTTATATCGTGGATCAAGCACAACTACTACAATCAAAATCTTATTCATCTTATCAACATTTCCCCAATACTTGTCAAACTTACCCTTCATGTTGCTATCCATATTACCCACCACACTATCCTGTTTGTCACTCATTCTCTTCAAAATCTGCTCAATTTTACAAAATTCATTGAAATAAATATTAGAGGTAACATTCAATGAAGCACTAAATTTCAAAGTAACATCATAAAATATTCTTAAAAATTTGACAAATTTTCTAGCTCTATCCCAATAATAAGTTGTTGGTTGCCCTTCTCTTTCTTTTCCAC